ATGTAGGGGAACCCAGCCTGAGACAACTCTTCATGTTAGGAGCTCTAGGTCAGTGCAAACAACATCACAAGAATGGTTCCCTTATGTAAGTGCTGGGTCTTTTTTTACAAGGAAGAAAAACCCGGCCTCCTTATGGAAAGAGTTTCATTATAAGGATGCTCAGAAAAATGAGGTTGGAAAAGCATCAGGACCTGAGGCAAACCTATAGAGATTCCCTCTTTCTCTGTCGCTCTTCCTCATTGCCCCCAAGCCCTCTTCCCTCTCACAGCCTCTGCTTCTCTCTCCACATCTGCCCTGCTCCCCTCTTACTCCCAGTTAGCTCCATCATGCTTGGTCCAAATGCCAGAGGGAACCAATCTGATCACCAGGCACACGCCCAGCATATCGGGTCATCTCAAGGGTCATTTTAGGTCAGGCGATCCCATCCCATAGAACAGCTTGGCGCTGCTCCCTAAATATTTCAGGCAGGACTATTTCTGGAAGCCAAGGATGTTGGAAGTGGCAAGTATGGATCTTAAAGTGTCCAGTTCATTCCAATAACTTGTCACATGTTGTCACATAGGTAAGCCCCAGCTGCCTCCTAAGTCAAAAGCTCTTGGAGTGCAAGGGTCAGGTCTTGATCCTGGGCTTGGCATCCAACACACAGGTCACCCCAAGCAACCCAAGGAGGCTATCAGACCCTTTCAAGCCAATATTCTTGAAAATATTCATTTGACATTTATACAGGAGAGACACCTGAAGGCAGCTCAACCTCTGCTCTGTTGAGGCAGAGGAGATGGGCAAGAATCCATGTGCTGGCTGTGAGAACTTAGAGAGGTCTGTGCCTCAGTTTTCTCATCTGTAAAATGGGGGCAACAACAACAATAATAATAATAGCCACCACCTTATAGAAGTGTTATAAGGATTAAAATAAGTTCATTCACATAGCCTTTGGCTCAGTGCCCACCTGAGCGGGCATCTGTTGTTGCTTCAGTATGTCTTTTGGGGTCTCACCACCCCCACCCCCAAAATCCCTTGCCAACACCTAGAGTACTCTCCTCAAGAGGAATTCTTGGAAATATACTCGTTTCCATCTTGCTACTCTCTGGCAATGTTTTTGGGCCCTCCTTGACTGATGGTTCAGGACTCTGGTCATGGCAGATGCTAGTGGCTTGAAGAGATGGTTGCTGAGAGGGCTTTTTTCTGGCTCGCAGGCCTCCAATCCACAAAGGGCCTGGGTACCCTCTCCCTGTGTTGCAGGCCCATCATCCTGGATCCAGCTGACCCCACCCACAACGTGGCGGAAGCGTACAGATGGGACATAGTCGCTCAGAGGGCCTGCCAGTGCCTGAAGCAGGACTGTTGCTATGACAGGGAGAACCCGGTCCCCAGCTGGAACGTGGAGGTAATGGTCCCTCTCCGGGCTGCCAGGGGCTTGCAGCTCAGAACGAGATAACTGCATTGTGTTTCCTTATTTATTTCTGCGTCAGTGGAGTCAACAGGGCATTAAAGTCAGACAGTTGTGTTTTTTTTCTTTTAAAGATTTTATTTTTTTTCCCTTTTTCTCCCCAAAGCCCCCCAGTACATAGTTGTATATTCTTCCTTGTGGGTCCTTCTAGTTGTGAAAGTCAGACAGTTTGAGGCCTGGCTGCACCATCCACCAGCTCTGTGAACTTGGGGAAATTATCCAACTCTCTGAGCCTCATATTCCTTAGCTTCAAATTCTTGTTTCCCTTTTCTTTCATCTTCCTATAACCTACTGGAAAATCAGTTCCGTGCTCTTGCTACTTCTTTGCATGAGCTGAGCCCAGGCAAGTCAGTCCAGCAGCTGTTTTGTGCCAGCACTGGGCTTGGGGCTGGTGAGGTCGCCAAGAGGGCAATAGTGGTACAGAAATAAGACATGCCCCTACCATCAAGAAATTCACCAGATTTCGCTAGGAAGCAAGTCCTTGAAACAAATTTGCACAAAACTGCTAGAAAGAATGACCAGAGAAGATACTCAGAAAACAAAAAATGCTAAATAATAGTATAATGTGATACCAAGCCTATGGTACAGGCAAAGATCACAATAATCAATTTTATTCACATTGTACTTTACAATTTACAAACCGCTCGACTAGGGACAATTCTGTAAAGTAGAACATTCAAGTATTATTATTATCATGATCTTTATCTTTATCATTATCATCCCCATTTACAGATGAGGAAATCGAGGTTCAGAGAGGTTAAGTTAATTAACTAAGGTCACTCTGCTAAGGGGCAGCAGAATTCACACCCAGGTCTTTGTGGGCTGTGGAAACAGAAAATAAATATTATCTGGAATCACCAGAGAAGCCTCTTTGAAAAAGACTGGGTTTGAAGTGGGCCCTAAAAGCCAAGGAGGGATGCAGACACTCGGAACAGAAGGCATTCCATCCAGGTAGAGGGTCGGCTGGGGGATGAGGGGCAAAGGAATGGAGGTGTGCCCTGGAACAAAAGACTGGCCTGCTTGGAGCAGAGACAGACGCAGAATCAGAGGCTCTCTGATAAGGTGCGGAGATTACAAACAGGGAGACCACCAGCCAAATGAAGCCCACAGATGGGCTGAAAAGTATATGCTTCTGGATTTTCCCTGAATGTGAAAACCATCATGCAAAGATTTTTATCTTCGGACTTAATGCAACCCCTCTCGCTCCTCTCCCTTCCAGAGGGCACGAGACATCCAAGTGACAGTGGAGCAATGGGGTTACCCAGACTTGATTCTCACGGTGAACCCTTATGAGCTCATAAGGCAGGTTAAAGAGAAGATCCGGTGGAGAAGAGGCTACTCGGGCGTGCAACGTCTGTCCTTCCAGGAGCCCGACGGCAAGCGGCAGCTCCTCAGCAGCCACTGCTCCCTGGCCTATTACGGGATCTTCTCCAACACTTGCATCTGTCTGCTGGAGACCATCTCCCCCGAGATCCAGGTCTTTGTGATGAATCCTGATGGTGGGAGCCACGCTTATGCCATCGACCCCAACAGCTCCATCCTGGGCCTGAAGCAGCAGATTGAAGACAAGCAGGGGCTGCCCATGAGGCAGCAACAGCTAGAGTTTCGAGGCCAAGTCCTGCAGGATTGGCTGGGTTTGGGGAGCTATGGTGTCCAAGACAGCAACACCCTCGTCCTCTCCAAGAAGAAAGCCAGAGGGACTCCGTTTCTACCCAGTTAGTTTCCTCTGGGAAACCTCTCTGTGCATTTCTGCCATCTCATCCGGGACTTATTCTGTCAACCACTCCTTCCAGCTTTCTGCTGTGAGGTCCCATGTCTTCACCAACTTTGTAAATGGTTATCCTAGCCCTGATAGTGGAGGACTAAGGAGGGGTGTGAGAGACTAGACATATAAATGGACAATGGCCAGACCATATATGACAATAGAATACTGACCCACAATCTTTGCAGCCACCAGCCAGGAAGCCAAACCACAACCTGTGCAGCAAGCAACTCAAAACAGTGAGGACTTGGTCAATAACTGGGAGCTTCCCTAACCAAGCCCCTTCCAATTTAGGACCAACCAGAGAAAGCCAAACAAGCTCCCTAACCAATCACATGGGATGCTCTGCTTCTAGGTAGCCCACCTCCAGTTTCTCTGCACCAACAACCTCACAGGCTTCCCTGAAGCCTTCTCTTTTCTCCACCACAAAGCTTCCCCATGACCCTGCCTGCCTCTGAGCCTCTGACAAATGCAACGGATGGTGGCTCACTCCCTTGCTATAGCAAGTGGGAATAAATAATCTTTGTTTGTTCTCTACTGGGTGGTCTTCATGTCTTTCCACAGATGCTAATGCTATCCTTGTGGCTGTTGCTTAATCATTTGAGCCCCTCTCAACTCTGGGAAGTGAGGACTGTAGGGAAACTGAGATGAAGATAGGCAAAGTGTGGGAGAGTGAGAATGACGCAGTGTAAAAACATCCCCTCAACTCCTGAAACACACACACAAACAGTACCTAATGGTCCAAGGACTTTAGGAAAATGACAGCATCTTTAATTATCAAAGAACATCATATTACCAGGTTTACTCCAACTAACCAATAAAAAGTTTCCTTTTTCCCCTCCCCTCTTGCCCTGCTTTCTGATGGACTACTTACCATAGAATATAAAATGCACTTCATAATTGGTTCTCAACAGCCTCTGGACAATTTATCAATAGTAACCAATTTCCCACCTCTTCTTGCCTTCAGGGGCAGAAAGAGTGCCTCCTTTCCACAGGAGAGACAGGACAGTCCACCCTACATCTTTTATCCTTTATAATGCTGGATACAGCCAAGTTGTAGGTGGTGGGCAAATTCTTGTTTAGAAAAAGGAATAAGTTGATGTGGATCAAGGCTGCCCCAGGGAAAGAAGCCCAAGGTGTCCTGGCTGACATGCCGATCTATATGACCCAATACATATCTAAAGTTATACGACGACACAATAACCAGACCCCACCTGCACTGATACCATTTAATGACTTTTTACATCATCTTTCCATTGTCTTGTAAAGAAATAACTCACATACCTATGCCTTATAAACTTAGCTTTAACCCTCAACACATTGCAGCTCTTTACTGCCCATGGGTCCTGTCCCCATGCTACTCCATGCTATTTTCTGAATAAAAGAGCACTACCGCCAGACCTTGAGAGTCCAAGAAATCTTTCCTTCAACTCCTCGACTCACCGAGCCCGCATCAAAGTCACCCTCCACTCTTTCATAATAAAAAAGACCAAGGTCAGAGAGTTTATTTTAATAAAATTTTGACACACTCAGCTTCAAAGATAAAACATGAAGCATTCCAAAAACAAAAGTAATTTTGTTCATCCTTCATGTGAAGCATCTTTTTTTGTTTGTTTGTTTGAGGAAGATTAGCCCTGAGCTAACTGCTGCCAATCCTCCTCTTTTTTCTGAGGAAGACTGGCCCTGAGCTAACATAAATGCCCATCTTCCTCTTCTTGATATGTGGGACGCCTATCACATGTGCCAAGCGGTGCCATGTCCGCACCCGGGATCCAGGTCTGTGACCCCCGGGCCGCCGAAGCGGAACGTGTGCACTTAACCGCTGCGCCACTGGGCCGGCCCTCCTGTGGAGAATCTTAGCCGCAGAGATTCTAATGTGTTGGCCTTGGGTGGTCCTAGGAGTCAGTATTTAAAAGTTCCCCAAACGTTTCCAATGTGCAGGCAGAGAGAAGTCCTGAGCTATAAAAATGCAGAATGTGTCCCATACCAAACCGGGCATCAGAATCTCCTAGGATAGTGCCTCTCAAATTTCAATGAGCACGCGAATCACCTGGAGATCTTGTTTAAATGCAGGTTCTGATTCAGTCAGTGTGGACCACAGCCGAGACTCTGCATTTCTAACAAGCTCCCCAGTGTTGTCAGTGCCGCTGATTCACGGTTTTAACCCTGAGTAGTAGCAAGGCCCTAGGATATTGGAGGAAATACAGATTCCTGAGTCCCACCTCTCAGAGATTCCGATTCGGTTAGTTTTCAGTTAAGCCCAACAATCTGCATTTTAACAAGCTCCCTAAGGTGTTTCTGACACCCAGATGGATTTCAGAATTACTGGAATAAATAAACAATATTGAAACCACACTGGATCAAAATTTGGGAACCAATCCTGGTTCTCTCATTAACCCCTTGTGTGATCTTAGGCAATTCCTTCCCCTCTGCAGATTTCATTTTCCTCATCAAGAAAAGGATGGAGAAATTCATCGCTGATGCTTTTCTAGCTCTCACATTTGAGGAAACCCCCAGGACACCTCAGGGCCCATGGCGGCCTGAGTCCGAGAACTACAATCCCCACAAAGCCCTGCGCTCCCCCGCTCTCACGTGGGGTCGTGGAAGCGGGTCATTAGCGGAGGCGCTCCCCACAAGCCTTCGCGGTGGTTCAAGATGGCGGCGCCCAGTGGCGCCGTGAGCGATGTGGAGAGCAGCAGCAGTAGCGATGCAGAGGAGCTGGCACGGTGCCGCGAGGCGGCGATGCCGGCGTGGGGCTTGGAGCAGCGCCCGAGGGGGCCGGAGAAGCCAAGAGCCGGTAGGGCACTGTGTTGAGGAGTCTGGCCGAAGAGCGTGGGATCTTTCCCTGGGGCCTAAGAGAATGGGTGGTGAGGAGGGGGTCACCGGGACGCGACTTCTTACTCCGAAAGAAATCCAGGGACTGGGTGGGGTTCAGATTCAAAGCGCGAGCAAGTGCAGCAGGAAGGGTTCCATTATCCCAGTAAGGGAAACTGAAGCACCTGAATATTTCTTGACTCTGCTTCCTTCGGTCCATCCTCTGTCGCACACTGGGCAGCCCGTCACCTCTCCGAGACGTCTGCGACATGCGCCTTCCTGGATTCTCGCATCCAGCCTGTTGCCGCCTCCAACACATTTTCACACCCTGGGGCTGCCAGCGAGCTGTGTCCAACACGTAATTCTGACCGTCACTCCCTAGTGCCCTGGGAATAAATCCAAACCCTCTCATCATAGGGGTACGTAATGTTGCATAGAATCCAGAGGGTCTATGAATTTGGAATGGGAAAAATATTTCATATTTACTCCGGTTAATCTCTATTTGAAATTTAGCATCTCTTTCCATCATGCATGTGAGCAGCAAGGTACAGTAGCTTTGGCAATTCCTGTCACTTTGTCCTGTCAAAAGTGACGGATTTTCACATCCCTTTACAGTCTTTGCAGATCTATCAAAGTATTTTATTCACAACAAAATATTGGGAAAAAATTATTTACATTCATCTCTCCCTTAAAATCACAGTAAATTTTAGATCTGTCAGTATATCTTATTTAATGCATTAATAAGCATATATTGTTAATATCTCAAACTTGGTTTTTTCTATTAATGATTACTGAATTTTGTATGATTAGTTTTCTTTGTAATCCTATATGTTGTATTTTATGCCTTTAAAACATGATTCTGAGAAGAGATCCAGGCTTTACTGGACTGCCAGAGCAGGCCGTGGCAAAGCAAAGTTAAAAACCCCTGTTTTTCTTTAGAAGGACTTAGAAGCCCTTTGGTAATCCATTCCCTGCTTGCCTCTCCCTTCCTGCCCTCCTACCACACCGCACTTTCCGTAGGTAGGCTCCAGCCCATACTATGCCATCTCATCTCTGGGCACCATCTCTGCAGTTTTCTCTTCAGGGTCTATATACAGATCTGCCTTTCCCTCTCCATCACTCTCTAGCAGTGAGAATTTGGGCAAGGTTCTTAAATCTCACTGTACCTAAATTTCCTCATCTGTAAAATGGGGATAATGGTAGTACCCACCCCGTAAAGTTGAGAAGTAGCTGAGACGATGCATCTACACTGCTTGGCACGTATTACAATCCCAATGAATGGCAGCAATTACGTGGCTGGTCTCTCTACATAGACTGCTTTCCCCCTCCTGCCTACTCTTCACTCTTCCTTTGATGCAGCTGAGACCCCACCTCTTCAGGAAGGCGGGGTTACATGCCTTGTCTGCGCCGCCATTGTACCTTGTGTGATTCCCTTCATAGAGAGTGCTTTCCTTTCTTCCTCCAGTTGCTTCCTTACTTGCCTTGTCTTTTCCCTTTTCATCCCTGCATCCCAGTACCTTGAGTCAACCCTGGCCCCTACTTGTTCCACAAATATTTATCGAGTAAGAGGTTCCATGATGTGAACTTCATGAAGGCTGTCATCTGGCCTGTCCCTTCACCGTGGTGTCCCCAGGGCCTAGCACAGTGCTCAGGAAGATAGTTCTTGAATGAATGAACTTGCCAGAAAGTCACCTCTCTGATGAATGCGGGGGCTGAGGCTGCAGCCAGACTCCCAGCGCAGTTGCTTCTGCCTTGGCAGAATGGATTCTTCTGTGGCAGTGGGAGAAGGACTTGATGTGAAGTGCCAGCTCGGATGCTGGTCCTAGACAAGTCACATAGCTTCTGGGAGCCACAGTTTCCTCATCTGGAAAATGCCTGACTCCTAGGCTTGCTGTGAGTCTCAAATATGAACGAGTTTTGCCCAGCCTATGAAGAGGTACACATGTGAGAAGTGGCACACACACCCCATTGTTTTGTGACATCATAAAGCCCCTGCTGATCAAAGTAGATGTAGCTGCTGATAATAAATGCTGTCATTTATTGAGTGACTACTGTGTGCCAGGCGAGATACTGGACATTTGATGTACATTCTTGGGCAATTCTAATAATAATGGCCACCAGGAGTTGAGCACTCAATGTGTGCCCTGCGTTCTAAATTCTTTGCATTTGTTTTCTAGAGTAATTTTCCCAGCAATACCACAAAGAAGGAATTTTTAGCCCCATTTTACAGATGAGAAAGCTGATGCTCATAAAGGTGAAGTAACTCGGCTAAGGTCATCCACCTTGTAAGTGGCAGAACTAGGCATAAATCTGGGTCTCTCTGACTCCAAGTCCATGCTGTTAACTGCTCTTAGCCACTCCCTGCTACAGACAAGTGCCTGTTGTAGGCAAAACTCCCACCCTTTGGTCCATGACTGTGGGCATGTAGGTCATTACTTTATTAATGTAACCCGTGATGCAGCTCCTGGATCCAGTGATAGGAACTGGTCACTCAGACCCTCAAACCACTTTAATTTTAGGGCAACATACACTTTGACTCCTTTATGCAACATTTATTTCACACCAAGGCACTATGCCAAGAGCTGGAGATAGAAAGACCAAAAGAGGCAGACCATGTTCTCCAGTAGCTTACAAATCCAGGGAGATGACATGCAAACCAAGTGCCCGAACAGTATAAAACTTCATTGTCCTCACTCTGAAAAGTTGATAATCCTATCCCCATTTTATGGGCTTGGGGAGCTAAAGTGACTGCCCAGGGTCACACAGCTTGTCATTGGAAGAGCCAGGGCTCAACTGAACTCTGTCTTCTGGGGCCTGGGGTCTAATACTACTTCTGTTCCCTGACGGCACCTCCCATGCACTGCTCTGCAGTCATGATGGAGGAAATCCTCCTCTTCCTTGCTGTTGTGTGCTCAACAAGAGGGACCAGGTCTTTCAAGGCTGTCCATCCCGGGCCTCCATGTTACCCAACTCCAGGAGCATCGGGCACTTGGCCTTCTGTGTTGTGCTCCAGAGTACAGTGACACAGACCACAAAGTGAACTGTGTCCCCTGGAGTTGTTTCATGCACAGTGGCCCTGCATTGGGTCCAGAGTCACCAAGCATCCATTTTGTTCAATTGGCCCCTTAAATAGCCAGGCACATTTGGTCCCGTGACTCGAGTCAAAAACCTCAGAACCATCTTTCATTCATCTGTCACACCGTCAATCGGCAGAGTCCTGTTGACTCTGTCTTCAGAACGCACACACCCGGAGTCCTGTCACTTCTCACATGTCAGTGATCGCCACGGTCTCCCTGCTTCTGCCCTTGCCCCACTGCACTCCGTCTCCACACAGCAGCCAGAGAGTCTGTAAAATCCTAAGTCCACTTAAGGTCCCTCCTCCCCTCCCTCAAGGCCCAGGTCCTCACAGTGGCCCACCAGGCCCTTCGTGATCTGGCCCCCACAAGTCCCCCATTTCTGCTGCTCCCCCAGCTCACTGGGTCCAGCCGCACTGACCTCCTCACTGGTTCTAAAACACACCAGACAGGCTTCTGCCTCAGGGCCTTTGCAGATGCTCTTCCCTCTCCCAGGAAGACTCTTCGCCAGATATCCACTTGACCCACTCCCTCACCTCTCACATCTCTGTTCAGATGTCACCTGTCGGTGAAGCCCTCCCTGCCCAACCTTTATGAAATGACCCCCCACCCAGTGCTCCCCACCGCCTTCCCCTGCTTTGCTTTTTCCCCTAAACTTACCATTATCTAATTTTATATTTTAAGTGTGTGTGTTATCATCTGTCTCCACCAACTAGAATGTAAGCTCCCTGAGGGGTGGGATCTTCGTCTAAATTGTTCAGCACCTAGAATACCACTGGCTAAGGTTAGACCTTGAGTGTGTGGTGGAGTGAGTGCCCGCCAGGCCAGGCATCCCCAGTGTCTTAGCTTGAAAATGTGATCAGCATAAGTGAGCCACCTTCTCTTCTCCAGCAGCACCTAGCGCACAGCCAGTCGCAAGGTAGGGGCTCAAGAAATGCTGGGATCAAGTTACACTGGACTTGCCCATTTGTGGTGGTTAAGAGGGGGGCTCTGGAGCCAGATGGCCTGGGTCTTCATCCCAACCCTGTCACTTATTAACTGTTTGACTCTGGCTAATGTATCTTACATCTCCTCACTTCAGTTTCCTGTTCTGCAAAATGGGGATAATGGTGACCCCCTAATGGGGTTATTGGGAAGATTCAATGAGTTGTACATGTAAATTACTTAAAATCGCGCATGACACACAACAGATACTGTTATTGCCGTTCCCTCTATAAATGCTTCAATTCTCATTATTTCCACAGATGCGGCAAATAATCAGTTGCCAGCCACCCAGCCAAGCCTCAGGTACTGTGCACTTTGGGTTCAAGTTTCATCCATTCATTCAACAAATATCGATCCTCTGCTGTGTGCCAGATGCTAGGTCAGACCCCGGGACGTCAGAGTGAATGAGACACACGTAGTCCCTGCCCCACAGGGGCTGCGTCCAAGCCAGCAGGAAGTGAGGGCCTTTTGTGTGTGTTGTAGGCATAAGGTGGATGAGCACGACCAAGATGGCAACGAGCTTCAGACCACTCCCGAGTTCCGAGCCCACGTAGCCAAGAAGCTGGGAGCCCTACTGGACAGGTAACCAGAAGTGCTCCTTCTCTTCTCCGCACTCACGAATGCGAACAGTAATGGCCCACATTGGCTGGGGGCTCAGGATGCAGGACGACACCGTGGCAAGCACATGGCGTACGTCACCTCATTGCATTCACTCACCCTACCACGTAGGTCGGCTCCTTGTCCTTATTCTCCAGGTGAGGAAACAGGAAGAAGCATTTGCTTGAAGTCACGAGGAGTAAGGAGCAGGGCTGGGGCTCGAACCCAAGTGTGTTTGGCTCCAGAGGCCACGCTCCTAACCCGCTGTGCTATCCTGCTGCTGTGAGAATGAGAGGGACCCCGAGAAGCAGGAGCTCATTCCTGCCACAAGGGGGCACGAGACAGGCGGGGTTACTGTTTCTTGGGAGCTTTCTGTGTGCCAGGCACTGTGCCAGTCGCCTTCTTGCATGTGGGGATGCAGTCTGTAAAGATCCAGGTCGGCATTGCGAAAGTCAGTGCCAGGGAGTACTAGTCCAAATGTAGCTCCAGAAAAAAGAGGTCCAACGGCAGAGAAGCTGGGAAACACTGCAGCCTACATACCTCCCCTGAGCCCTTGGAGATTTAGATTCATAATGGTATATTCAAGGCTCTGAGAAGGCCTGCAGTAAACAGACCTTGTGTAACTTTGGTTAGCCCCACATTTCCAAACTTACTTGGCCACAGTGCCTTTGTTTCATAGAAGACTGATAATGTAGCAGGGAACGCGCATTGGGATGCACTGGGCTAGCTCCATTCGTGATTGGCAGAGCCCTAGAAGGTTCTGAAAGGGAGAGAGGGGGTTCGGGCCATAGTCCTTCAATTTGAAGGAGACATCAAAGAGGACAAACAAGCCTTCCCAAAGTGCACCAGCTGCTCCTCTGAGACAGAATGCTGGACCAGACCTCAGCAGCCTGACCCACCGCAGCATTAGTGCCAGACCCCCAACCTGAGAGTGGAGGACGTGTTTGGGGAGGTCAGCTGGCATTTCAGCCTGTGGGAGCAGTTTTTCTTCGTGGCTGTTCAGCTCCAGGGTGAACGAGGCCGCCTGACGCTGCAGTGCTCCACGGTGGACATCTGCCCGGGAGGTTAACCACAGTCGGGTATTCCCTGCAATGTTTCTGTGTTTCTCTCTGAAGAGACTTAAGTGACACTCCAGCTGGTCCCTTGTGTTAGATCAGGGTTTCTCAGCCTTGGCGCTGTGGACATGTTGGACTGGATCGTTCTTGGTTGTGGGGGGCTGTCCGGTGCATTGTAGGATGGTTATCAGCATCCCTGGCCTCCACCCATTAGAAGCTTGGGACAGCATCGTCCCCTCCCTCTCCCCAGATTGCTTGCCTGCACAGGGCTGTGAGGGAAGCCTTGGCATATAGGAAGGCAGTGAGGAGAAAGCGCCCAGCGCATCACCAGGTCTGCTGCAAGGATGGTGTTGAGAGTGTTGTTCTCTGCAGGGTATGGTGACTTCTCCATCGGCGTTCACCGGAGTCACACTGCCTGGTCTCGGCAGTTCTCCTTGCTCTCTCTGCTTCTAGAGGGATGTGGTTTATTTTTATGTTAGAGGGCCTGTGAAGTTTGTTGCTTATCTTGATGACAGTAATCATCTTCATCCCCATCGTAGCGTGGGGCCAGCCTCTGTGTGAAGTGCTTCATATCCACTATCTCCTTTAATCCTTGTGACGACCCTCAGAGGCAGGGACTCTTGCCGTTCCCGTTGAGGCTCAGAGAGATGAAGTCACTTGCCAAAGAGGACACAGCTAGGAAGTGACAAAGCCAGCATTCAAAACCCAAGTCTCTGAAATTCTGAATAAAATAAATAAGGTCAATGGATTATATCTCTGTCAGTTTCCTGGTTGTGACATTGGACTATAGTTATGCATAGTGCTACCATAGGGAGAAACTGGGCAAAGGGTTTATGGGATCTCTCTCTATTATTTCTTGCAGCTGCCTATCAGTCTATAATTATCTCAATTTGTTTTTAATTTGAAAAAAAAGATTTGCCCTGCTCTAGAAATGATCTCTGAACAATCTCTGTAGACTGGTCATGTTGCCCTTTTCATGCTTGCTACCAGGAAGCTCAGAGAAAACTGTGTACCCTCTCTCTAGCAAGTGTATAGGACTTTCTGACCACACTTCTGGCTCTTTCTGTCACTCCTTCCCTTATTTTCTCTTTGTCCTATTTGAAATTGTATTCATTTTGTTGTACTGTGAATATCTTTAAAACTTCCTCAACACTTTTGGAATAAAGTGGGTTTAAACAAATGAAGCACTGCAGTTGGAGCTGGCAGGGGCCGTTCAGCATGTTATGGCTGTAGGCATTAGCATTCTCATCAGGCCAGTGTGCTGTCTGCTATTGCACTTAGGGTCACATGCCCATACCCCTCCACTTAAAAAAATAATTGTTTTAATTTTGTTGTAGTTGTTGTTACCCAAAATCTTATCGTAAATCAACCATCTCCTCTTCCCTTAGCTCCATTACCATCTCAGAAGTAGTGAAGGAGCCGAGGAAGGCTGAGGTACAGAGGGTCACCCCAGAGGATGACGGTGAGTGGTTGCACCATTAATATCAACTTCCGTTTTTTAAGTGCCTGCTGTGAGTCTGGGGCTGGGCAATGCAGTTTCGGTGTATTCTCTCCTTTCATCTGCACAGCCCCGCTCTGAGGCAGGCGTTATGGTGATGCCCCCATTCACAGGGGAACCGGAAGGGAAGCTGGGGCTCTGAGAAACAAAGTCCCCTGCCTGAAGTCGCTCCATCTGTGTGGCCCTCAGCGGGAGCTCCTTATACCACACTGCACAGCCTCTCCCCTCTGCTCTCTGGCCCACGCCCAAAACATTTGCCGCTTTGGAAGCTGCCTTATGCAGGAGGCTCAACTGCTGACTTCTAGAAGCCTCTGAGGGCTTGCTGACCTGGTGTGGCAGCCGCGTCTCTGCAGCAGCCCAGCCTCCGCCTCCAGCAGGCATCAGGCATGCCCCTCCTCATACAGGCGGCATCCTGGAGTTGGACCAGCGATGCCCGGGCCTTTGCCTCTGGACCTGGAGCTCCTTGAGGCAGAGGCAGGGCAGCCTCGGCTCCCAGGAGGAGGGCCGGCCCCAGCAGCGCTAACTCTGCCCTCTGCGTTTTAGGCTTCCGTCTTTTCTTCACCTCCATCCCCGGAGGCCCTGAGAAGAGAGCTGCTCCCCAGCCCCGCCGGAAGCGATCGCCTTCCAGCTCCAGGTGAGATCGCACACCCTCGCCTCAAGTTCCCTCCTTTCCGCCCGTTTTCTGTCTTGGCCAGTCCCAAGGCAGAGCCAAGCAGACTCCAGTCAGGCCCAGGCCAAGAAGGAGCCCCGTCAGGTAGCCAGGAAAATAGTGCACTCGTGGGAGGGGGTGAGGTTCTACTGGGAGTGGGCTGTGGACGTTTACTGCTTTTTGAGCACCCATCTTGTGCCGGACACATCACTCCTAGGACATCCCTGTGAGGCCTGGGCTTAGTTAAGATCTCCATTTTATAGATGAAGACACTGAGGGTCAGAGAGGTTAAGTCTCTTAATGAGGTCACACAGCTGGAAGAAGCCAGTATTGGAATGCATGTGAGCCTCGCTCCCAAGCCTGAGCTCTCTGACTGCCTCCCTCTGTGGCCTCTTTCTGGTGGCTTGGACTCAGGCAGCGAGAGGCGGCTTTGGGGCCCCGTCCTGACTCCCGCTGACCCAGGCTGTCCTCCCCTTACAGCAGCGAGGACAGCGACGAGGAGTGGCAACGGTGCCAGGAGGCAGCTGTGTCAGCCTCTGACATTCTCCAGGAGTCTGCCATCCACAGCCCTGTCAGAGTGGAGACGGAGGAAAAGAAGAAGAAAAGGAAGCTGAAAAAGAAAGCCAAGAAGGAGGCCACTGCCGCCTCGGCCACAGCCGCCACCACCACAAGCAAGGCCGCCGTCGGGAAGCGGGAAAAGGAGTCGGCCGAGCTCAATGGAGACCAGGCATCTCTTGGGACCAAAAAGAAGAAAAGGAAGAAAAAGGCAAAGAAAGCCAGCGAGGCTTCCCCGTTCCCACCAGCAAAGAACGCAGCAGTCAGGCCTGCAAACTGACCCCAGCCCTGGGCATGGGGCCCGACTCACCCTGAGGACGAGGGGCCCATGGGGACAGGGCGTTTCCAAGCCCCGCCTCCCTCTCCAAGTTCAAGGACTTGGCTGGCGAGTCCAGACCCTGCCCCTGATTGGGGCTTGCCCAGGGACTGGGGTGTCGAAGTGGTTGTCGGGTGAGAAGCCTAAGCAAGGCCTGCCTTTCTGTGCTCCCACTGGGACTGGAGCAGACCTGTGGTACCAGCACATTCCGCAGCCTCAGGAAGAAGGAGCCTTCAGTTACTCGAGACTGATGGCGGGTGGTAAAGCTTCCATCACCCCAGGACAGTCTGCGGTAAGCAAGTGAAGGGACCTTTCCCTTCCCCTCCGCCGCCTCAGCCTGGTGTGGGAGGCAGTCTTCAGGAAATGAGGGAAGGGGTCCCCAACATGCCAAGGCCCGGGAAGGGTTTTGTACTTCTCCCTCCAGGCCACATAGACTTGATAGAACATTGTCCGAAAAAGAAAGAGAGATTTTTTACCCCCTAGTTTTCCAGAATTTTCTTTCTCTGCATTTGTGAATATACCACAGGCAATCACGTCTCTGAGCCAACCAGGTTATCGAAAATAAATTGTCAAGGGACCCAAAATGTAACAAAGTGGTTTGGATGCTGCCTCCCGGTCAGTGCTGAATCTGGATGAGACATTCTACATAAGCATCGCATGGGTGGGGTCCTCCTGCACCCCAACTTCGGGACTTCAGGGAGGGTCACAGTACCTGTGGCCTGGGTTCCGTGCCCCAGGGGGTCTTGTGCAGGAAGGAGCAGAAGCTCAAGGTTAAGGTGAAACTCTGGCTCCACCACCTGGCCTCAGAGATTCAGCAGGGCAGGACAGGCACTGTGACATGTATGTGCTGGGGCCCGTCTCTCCTCAGGCCCCTGGCCCACCTCGGCCTCCCCCTGCCTGCCCAACACCCTCTGGGTGGTGTGTGGACAAGCAAGAAGTGTCCAATACGTTCCTCATTTACTTTACTGAAAGTTAAATAAATGTACAGGTGCGCCCTTAGCTGGCTGCCAGCTGCAGTGGGTACTGGTTCTCCCCTGGCCGCTTCCTCAATCCCAGGATGGAGGTAGGCCACTGAGGGCCGGGTTATCTGCGGCAGCCCCAGGGAGAAGAGGATACGGGTGCCTTGTCCCTCCCCATGCTGCTCAGGGCCTCGGGCTCCTCAGGGTGGCTGCAGACCGCCTGGCTCCCCATCCACAGCCAGCTGGGCTCCCAAGCTTCCAGGCGTCACAGGTGGCTCTGCTCCCTCTGGGTCCCTCAGTTCTGTGGCTGCTTAGGCCTTGCTGCCTTCTGAGCTCAGCAGCTTCTCCCTCAAACCAGGGAAGGGTCTGCAGGGCCCCAGAAGCCAGAGGTGCTGCTGCCCCAAGACCTGGGCTCAGCACCAGGCACAGAGTCACGAGGCTCCTGCAGGAGCACGGACAACTTCCTGGCCCTGAGGGGGGCTTCCCAGTAGAGGCAAGATGCCAGGCTGGCGTAAGAAGGCGTGATGCTCAGGAAGATGAATGTCCAAGAAAACTGGAGGTCGTGGGGGCCGAGAAGAGGGGATGGCTCAGGACGAGGGAAATTGGGAGAGCCCTGCGTGCCCTCCTTGTTAGCCTGAGCTCCCCTGGGGCTGGCATGGGAGCCCAGGTCCTGGCACAGAGGAGCCACGAGGACAGCTTAGGCAAGTGGGGGACGGGTAGGTGTAAATGGGCATGTGGATCAGTAGCTAGAAGGGGGCAGAGTGGAGTGGCCTGGTCGGGGCATAGGTGACAGAACGGTTCACGTTGATCTCGGGCCTCTCGGAGCTCAGCGACTCACAGCTACGCAAGCTTGTGTCCTGAGAAGTGTGGCTGCCAGAGTTTCCTTCGGGATGCTGGGCTCTCCACAGATTCAGGCTGGGGCTGCCAGAGTCCAAAGGCTGCCCCTTTCTGCTCCAAGTGACAAGATTTACCTGAGCAGCAGGGACAGTCCCTCCCGTGACCTGCTAGGAACAAGCTCTGCCTCCCAGCTCTCCACGGTCCCTTCTTGTGCAACGGAAGCAGCCCTCAGCTGCGCGTGCCTCAGAACCCTCCCTTTCTGGCGCCAGCAGACCAGGGTGGGGACCGAGGCACTGTTTTCCAGGGAAAGGCAGCAACCCCGTGGCAGCAAAAGTTTCTTAGGCTCAAATGTCCTCGTCACCCCCCAAGCAGGCCATGCAGGCCCCAGGGCCCAGCCCCTCCGGGAGGCGGTTGCCATGGTTACTGGGAGGAAGAGGCCATCTGCGTGGAGATGAAGGTCTCGATGACGCTGTGGTTCGAGGGCAGCAGGTGGCTGTGCCCATTGGAGGAGTCGGAGCTCTGGTACAACACCAGGCTGCTGGAGGACACTGCGGAGGCAAACAAGGCTGCTGGCTGCCTGCCAACCCGCCCCAACCCCACCTGTCCCTAGGGTCCTCGGGACAGGGGCAGTGGGGCCTCGCCACGTCCTGAATCACAGCAGATAACAGGAACCCCAAAGTCAGACCTACCCTCGGGTCGTCTGATCCCCCAGGCAGGCTCCAGGACCAACCAGGGAGTGGCCTCCTCAGGACATTTTGGTGGGAGCATTAGAGAAGCCGTGGTGAGGGGGTGTGGTGGTGGTTTGCTTTAGGCGCCAACTCGGCTAGGCAGGAGTACCCAGTCACTGAAGCAAACACTGATCTAAGTGTTGCTCTGAAGGTGTGCACATGGTTTACACCTACAGTCAGTTGATTTTAAGTAAAGATTTCCCTCCATAATGTGGGTGGGCCTTATCCAATCAGTTGAAGGCCTTAAGAGCAGAAGCTGAGGTTTCCTAGAGAAGAAGGAATTCCGCCTCAAAACTGCAGCATTAATTCCTGCCCTGTCACCAGCCTGCTGGCCTGCCCTACAGCTTTCAGACTTGCCAGTGTACCCCCACAGTCATGTGAGCTCATTCATTAAATATATAAACATTCCTATTGGGTCACCATCTCAGGAGAACCCTGCCTCAGATGGTGAAGAGAAAGGCCTTTGAGTTTGGACCTAGTAGCTGTCGGAGGCAAGGCCAAGGCCCTCCGCTCCTTGAGTGTCTGCTTTCTCATCTATAAAATGGGCTGATGAAGTGTGCCTCATGGGTAAGCATGGGGCCTGGACTGTGAGCCCTAGGGAACCGTCACTGCAGCCACCAGGGCCGGATGGAGGAAGCTGAGGCCCACAGATGGGGAGCAGCTTGCCTAAAGTCGCACACTTGGCAAGCGGCTGCCCCAGGCCTCAGAGCCCAGCAGCCTGACTCCAGGGTGCCTGCCCTTCACCATGACAGGGTGGGTCACAGACTCAGGTCCTCAGAGAAAGGAAATGAAGGGCTGAGTGGGACGTGGTGGCCTGGAGAGTGCACGCTCCGTTGTTGCTGTGTGGGAACACGAGTCCTTCCAATATTGCAAGAGAAGCCAGAGAGCTGGTCTTCTTTATGCAAGCTCCTGATTTCAACATTGGCACTGAATTCAAAGCGTGCTAAACCCTGAGCAAACCACCGCCTCCGTGAGCCACTTGCGGCCACAACAAGCCCACTTCCGTCATTATTAGCCCCCGCTGCCTCTCGCCATTACTTAATCTTTTTCCTCACCCGAGTCACTGAGATGTTCCTGTAAGATGTGCCCATTTTCCTGTGGTTTCACACCCCGCCCGGCTCAGTTTAGAGGAGCCCAGGGTGCCCTCCAGTGCGGGTCTGGGGCCGCCTCCCATTGAGCCCCAGCTGCCGCATACCTTGCCCCCTGACTGGGCAGCGAGCAGGGAGCAGGGAAGGGCTGCTCACCGGTGGGGCTGGTGCTGAGCCGATGGGCCGGCTGCAGGTGCTGGATGCCCGCAGAGTCCTGGCTGGGGATGTGGATGGTGGTGGCCTGTGACACCGGAGGATGAAGCCCGGACTCGCTGGAGGCCTCAGTGTCTGTGGTGAAGACCTGGGAAAACAGCAGCCTCCTGAGCCGCCGGCTGTGCTCTGGGGAGGGGCCCGAGGAGGATCGAGGGCAGGCCTGGGCCTTACCTGCTTGGTGGGTGTGAGGCTGGCAAGGGCGCTCAGGTTGGTGGTGTCGGTGATGAGCATGGTCTGCGGAAGCAGGCCCGTGTGGGTGTACTGGGCCACCTCAGGCTTGTGGCTATAGAGGGCTGGCCAGGAGGGAGGAGAGAGAGGAGGACACGACATGGCACCCTGGGCTGAGCTGGAGCCCTCCCAGGAGGGCCTCAAGGCTGGGTGCTCTGGGGGAAGTGGGGTGTGGGCCTTGGTGAAGGGCCCGATGGGGCACTGGCTGAGGACTCAGGGCTGATTCCCAAAACTGGGAGCTCCAGACAGAGGGATTGGACCCTCTCCCCAGCTACAGGAGCCTGCTCAGCCTGGCTTGATGGAGAGAAGCCGGGAGGAGGCTAGCACCCAAACCCAGCTCCTCCCGTCACCTGGAGATGACACGTGAAAGGGAGTAGGAGGCACAGGTGCTGCTGTGCCAAGTACAGGCTCGGGGGGAAGGGCGGTGCCCCTGCTAGGGTGGGCAGGGTGGAGGGCAGCACATCTCCGCCTCCAGGACCCCTCTCCGAAATGTAACCCAGAGTGCCACCTACAGCCCCCACCCCCACAAAAACGCCCATGGACACCAGCAGGAAAACACACCAACCACACATTCTCACGCTGCGTCAGATAAAGCCATAACCACCCACATACACACTCACCCAAATACACACAGTTACACAGATCCACAGCCCCTTCTCCCCAGTTCCAAATGCCAGAAAGGTCTGGAAACCAACAGGTTTTCCTAAGGTTGGCACTGGAGCTCATTGGGTGGCAAAGTGTGACCTGAACCTGACGTGAGGTGATGCAAGTCTGTATTAACCTGCCTTGTGGAATTCTACCTTTTGCCGCAGAGATAGCAGAGCTGCCCCAAACCCTGCTGGGAGTCTTATGTAATCCATGGTCTGGCCACCACGTTACATTTCCAAACCCTGAGAATACTGAATTCGGAAATACGTGTGGCCCCAAGGCTTTCAGAGAAAGGACTGGGACCTGTACTCCCACTCGTGAGCGTGCACACGCAAACACCCGGGTGTGCCCACTCATACAAACCTGCACACACGCGTGGCCACACATATTCACACACTGAAACGTTTTCTGGTCACAGACACTCATCTGAGCACCCGCAGACCACCCCATCACAGAAGCACCTGCATTAGTACCAGACACACACGGAGACCACAGTATCTGCTCAGCCGCCCTTCCTCCGTCCACATCACCAGCCAACCTCTCCCCCCACCCCCCGCCTGGGGCCGGGGCGCTCACCGTGGGGGCTCTGCAGCTGGGCCATGGTGGCCATGAAGGGGCTCTGGGCCACGTGGCTCTGCACAGGGGGCATGAGTGGCTGCTGGTAGGAAGGGTGCAGCGGCTGAGAGAACTGGACCGGCTGCAGGGTGGTCAGGCTGCTGCCCATGCTGTTGATGACCGGCACGCTCTGTGCCTGCGTGGAGGCCAGGCCTGGGGCAGGAGGGGCAGGAGTCAGCCAGGCCTCCTGCCATCTCCACTGCCTCCCCAGGCCCAACCCAGACCCTTGGTGGCATCATCCCTCCCTCCCTGAGCCAGTGAGTTGCAGGAGGGGACAAGGCAGACAGGAAATACCTTTGGGTTAGGACCTGTCACTAACTTACGTGGCCTTGGCAAGTCACTCCCTGTCTCTGAGTCTCTAGCTCATTATATGGGCAAGGAGTATGTCAAACTAGGTTCCCTGGAGCCCTGGGGTTCCACAGCAGTGCAAAGGCCCTGAGGCTTAACTCTCTGTTCCCCTCTCCCAGCAGCTTCCTATCTGTTTCATATATTGAGCTTCCGTACAATAGTTCCTGCAAATAAAGTCTTCCTGGGCTTTAAAAAAAAAACCTAAAACCTAGAAAATTGTGACCCCCCTTCCCTGCTCTGTTTTTCCCACAGACTTGTGCCTCCTAAAGCACTATATACTGTCTGCGTTATGTTCACTGTCTGCCTCCCCACTGGGTCGCTGAGATCTTGGTGTGTTTGTTGCTCTTGTATATCCCTGAGGTAGCACAGAGCCTGGCACAGAGGAGGCACTCAACAAAAGCATGAATGAATGAATGAATGAGTCCCAGGGGCTCTTCCAGCTCCTGGATTCTGTAGGAGCCCCATGAACCCCCTACTCAGATGCCCTCTATCCCCACAGCTTACCAATGACCAGGGTGGAGGCGCCTGTGTTGGTGAACGTGGGGCCGAGGGAGGCAGGCTCCCCAGGCCCGATGGCCATCACCCCAGGAAGCGAGGCCATGATGAGGTTCTGGGGCTGCTGGTTGAGGCCTGGGGATGTCTGCTCCAAGCTGTGCAGTGCTGTCAGGGTGCTGACAGGGGGCAGGGGGCCCCCAGTTGCTGAGACCTTGGAGGGGAAACCAAGCTGAGTCAAGGTGGGGCCTCAGCCGAAGGAAGATGGGATTGGAAGGGCCTTCCTCCACTGGGGGGAGCACTCACCAGCTTGGCTTCAGTGCTCAGCAGGCTGTGACTGGGCTCCAGGCCTGTAGGGGACACTTGGTGCAGGGGTGCAGACACTGTCACCAAGGGACCGCCGCTGCTTGAGGGCACTTCTGCCCCCTCACTGGTTGCAGGCTGTCCATAGCGCACACCTGGAGTGGGAACAGTGTCCAACCTCAGCACCCCACTTTCCTGCTCACCTCCCAGGTCCCCATCACCCCAAACCACTTCGGTTTGCTTGCGCTATCTTTATGCAGCCAGCACACTCTGCTTGAGTGACCACCTCCTGCCAGGCCTTGCGTTGGCTGCTTCCAACTCCTTGAACACAAGGGCTAAATTTTATTAGTTCTGCACCCCCACACCCACCCCCACACCCACTGCCTAGTGCTACACCTGATATACAGTAGGTACACAATAAAAGACAACTGAACCAAACTAAACTGAGGCTAATAAAATTAAACTGCAGTGATCTGAGTTGAATAGAATGAACTTGAATTAGTTGAATGAAACTGAATCTAGTTGAATTGAACCTGAAGTGAATTGAGTTGAATTGAATCAAATTGAATTGGATTGAATGGAACTGAGCTATACAAAATTAACTGAATTTTCTTGAATTACATCTAATCAAACTGAATCAATTGGGAATTGGATTGGATTAAACTGTACCAAATTTAAATGAACTAAATTGGATTATAATGAGTTGAACAGAATTGAGTTGAGTAGAGTTGAACTGAAATGAATTGAGTTTGTTTGATCTGAAATGAATGGATTGAATTGAAGTAACCCAAATCAAGCTAGGTTGGAGTGGATGGAATGGAGTGGATGGAGTAGAGTAGACGGAGTTGAGTGGGGTGGAAGGAGTGGAGTGGAGTGGATGGAACAGAATGGTCAGTGGAGTGGATGGGGAGTAGTGTAAACAGAGTGGAGCAGAACCAAACTGCTGTGCTAAGAGGCTGGGCAGCTGCTGCCACTGGGGTGCTCCCCAACTTTCCCACCTACCGCCATGTCCCCTCTGCCCACAGTCCCAATCCCCCTGCCCATATAGCACTCACCATGGACCTTACTAGGGGAGAGGGCAGGTGGGGGCAGGCCCGGGGAGCTGTGGGCAGGCAGCGCAGGGCCCGGGCCTGGTCCCGGTGGCGGCCCACTGTATGTGTCCATGGCCAGCTTGTGCCGAAAGGCTTCTTCCTTGCGCCTATTGGCAAACCAGTTGTAGACACGCACCTCCGTGACGAGGTTGGAGCCCAGGCCCTGTGCCTGCGACGGTGACACCCCCCTCTGGATGCACTCCGCCCTGCAGAAATGGCCACTTGTGAGCCTCCAGACCAGGCACAAAGGAGCCCTCTCTTGGGGCTTCGGGGAAGGCTCTGGGAAGTGGGGCTCTACCTGAGTGTTTGAGGAGGCAGACCTGAGTTCCAGTCCCAGTTCTGCTGTGTGACCTTGAGCAAGTGACTTAGCCTCTCTTAGTCCCTCCAATCATAAAGTGAGCAAAATAGCCATAGGGTTTAGTGAGGATGAATGAGATGAGCAGCCACTCAAGGGTTGCTTGGGTCGGAGGGGGCTGAGTGCCAGGAATGGAGCTAGGTTTCAGACACTGAGCAGGAGTTGAGAACTCCTGGGCCAACAACAGGATCTCTCAGGACTGGGGAGTCTCCCCCAGGACCCAGAGCCACCCTCCCCTTCCCCAGTCTGGCCCCAGCCCAGGCCAAACCAGCCCTGCCAACCGCCAGCCGTTCTACCTGTTGCACTCCTCCACCAACGCCTCTCGCTCCTCCTTGCTGGGGTTCTTCTGCCTCTCGTAGGCCTGGAACAGGATCTGCTGGGATGCTGGGCCCCATTTGAAACGATTTCTCCGCCCCTTCTTGGTTGGTAGCTCATCGCCCGTGGGCTCTTCAATCAGCCCCCCCTGCCCTGCGTGGGTGAACTCTGTAGGCACAGAGAGCCATAAGCAGGGCATCAGCCACTCCCACCCTCCCACATCAGTTCATCTGACCATGCCCCTGATTCCTTCTCATTCCCAGGGTGCTGAGCCAGAGGAGCTTCCAGCTAGAACTTAGAATATCATTTAATCCAGTGATGGCAAACACACAGCACACTTGCCACCCCTTTCTTAACATGTGTCCAAGGCAGACATCACTAATCAAGCCCCGCACACTTTTCTACTGAGCCAAGATATAAACTCACAATCCTTCTCAAAACAAGGCTCCAGGTAAGAATCACCATTTGTTCACATTTGACAATATGCCATCCCATTTTACAGATACGGAAGCTGAGGTTTAGAGAGGTTAAATATTTTCCCATGGTCACACAGTAGACCAGAACCTTGAACCATATCCCCTGAGTAGATTCAGAGCTATTTTCAACATTCCAGACTTGGAAATCCAGGTTAAAGTGCAAGTGTTAGCCAGGAGAGAAGAGACCCACCCAGCCCTTGTCAGCTTCTTCCACTTTAATGGAAACTAGTTTATCATTATCTCTGAGCAGGCCACCAAGCGTATGGGACAGCCAAGTGCCAGGACAGAAGGAAGATTCTGAGTCAGGGGCATAGCAGCAGGAGTGCCCTTGCCATCTGAGTGCCAAGAGCAGAAGCAGGCACCAATGCTCCAGCGGGGTTAGACCCATCAACAGCCAAACTGAGAAGACACTAGAAGCCCGTTTGGCACAGATTCTATCACTCTCAGCAGCTGTGGCTTGAGCACCTGCTCATGCTGACTCTCAGTTGGCCATCTTGCCCGGCAGGGGGCTGGCCCAAGATCTGGAGTACAGGACACTATGACTTAGCCCAAAAAACTAAAATATTTCAGCTTAAAAAAATTACCCTGTCGTTAATCTCCAAAATATATGATGAACTCACACAACCGAACAACAAAAAACAAACAGCCCAATCAAAAATTGGGCAGAGGATATGAACAGACCTTTTTCCAAAGAAGATATACAGATGGCCAATGAGCACATGAAAAGATGTTCAACATCATTAATCATCAGGGAAATGCAAATCAAAACTACACTAAGATACCACCTTATGCCTGTTAAAAAGGCTATAATCACTAAGACTAAAAATAAGAAATGTTGGAGAGGGTGTGGAGAGAAGGGAACCCTCATACCCTGCTGGTGGGAATGCAAACTGGTGCAGCCACTATGGAAAACAGTATGGAGATTCCTCAAAAAACTAAAAATAGAACTACCATATGATCCAGCTATCCCACTACTGGGTGTCTACCCATCAACTTGAAATCAACAATCCAAAGTAACATATGCACCCCTATGTTTATTGCAGCATTATTCACAATAGCCAAGACGCAGAAGCAACCCAAGTGCCCATCGACTGATTGGATAAAGAAGACGCAGTATATATATACAATGGAATACTACTCAGCCATAAAAAAAAGACAAAATCATCCCATTTGCAACAACATGGATGGGCCTGGAGGGTATTATGCTAAGTGAAATAAGCCAGACTGAGAAAGACAAACACCGTATGACTTCACTCATGTGTGGAATATAAACAAACACTTGGACAAACAGAACAGTTCAGGGGTTACCAGGGGAAAGGGGGGTGGGGGGTGAGCACAGGGGGTGAAGGGGAGCACTTATATGGTGACAGACAAGAAATAATGTACAACTGAAATCTCACAATGATGTAAACTATTATGAACTCAATAAGAAAAAAGTTACCCTGCCAAGGTCATGAAAAATAAGGAAAATCTGAGAAACTGTCACAACCAAGAAGAGACTAAGAAGGCACAACTAGATGTAATATGTCTACAACTGGATGGGATCCTGGACCAGAAAAAGGACATTAGGGATAAACTGAGGAAATCCAAATAAGGTATGGACTTTACTTAATAATAACGTATCATGTGGGTTTGTTAATTGTGAGAAATGTACCTACTAATGTTAATAATAGGGAAAACTGGGTCTGGGGTATATGGGAATTCTCTGTACCATCTGCCCAGTAGTCCTGAAAATTTAGATTTATTCTAAAATTAAAAGTTTTTTTTTTTAATTGCCAAACATGCGAAGCAGATAGCTTACCCTGTCGGGGATTTGATGGGAGAAGTTCAGAGAACACCTGGCAAGAAAATTACATATAGCAGCAACAGCTAATGTTTTTGCTTTCTCAATGCCAGGCATTTCTACAAATTGCACCTTCAGGGCAGCTCCGCAGAGTAGATGCTATTTTATCCCCACTACACGGATGGGGGAACTGAGTCACAGAAAGGATAAACAACTTTTCCAAGGCCACACAGCTGACAAGTGGCAGAGCCAGGATTTGAAGCCAGGCAGCCTGGTTCCAGAACCCTACACTTAGCCACTATAGCACACTGCCCCTTCTTGAATAGGGCCCTTCTCATTCAGTTCAACATCTGTTCATTCTCTGAGAATTCCCCAGTGACAGGCACCTGCTTTGCCCGCATAGCATCGTTTCCTCCTTCTTCAGAAACAGCACCCTGATTCTCTTTGGGGCTCCCTCTCCTCCCTTCCCAGCCCATCTGGGTAAGGTGAGGTGACCTCACTCTGGCCAAGAAGAACACCACATCCCCCTGGCCACTGTGATTGGTTCATGGATCTTCTCAATAAATGGTGCTGGGTAGTCAGTTACACAGGAGAGGAAATGAATTTGGGCACCAGTACCTCCATCTGTAAACTGAATCGAAAGCAACTTGTGAAAAAAAAACCACGGGGGCCAGCCCCTTGGCCGAGTGGTTAAGTTCGCGTGCTCCGCTTCGGCGGCCCAGGGTTTCACCAGTTCAGATCCTGGGCACAGACATGACACTGCTCATCAGGCCATGCTGAGGCAGCATCCCACATGCCACAACTAGAATGACCCACAACTAAAATATACATCTATGTACTGTGGGGATTTGGGGAGAAAAAGCAGGGGAAAAAAAGAAGATTGGCAACAGTTGTTAGCTCAGGTGTCAATCTTAAAAAAAAAAACAGCAAAACCATGAATCCCGACTCTACCTCCTGCTGTACACAAAAATCAATTCCAGCTGGACTGCACCTCTAAATGTGGAAAGTAAAACAAAGCTATTAGGATAAAATATAGGAGACCATGTTCATGACCTTGGGTTAGACAGAGATTTCTTAAACAGGACAGGAAAAGCGCTAACCATAAAGAAAAAAATTAAGAACTTCTGTTCATCAAAAGATATCATTTCAAATATATAAAGCAACCCACAGTGTAGGAGAATATATTTACAATGCATACTCTTGAAAAAGAACTTGCAGTATATTTTTTTAAACTTTTACAAATCAATAAGAAAAAAGCAGACAATCTGAAAGAAAGATGGGCAATCTGGAACAGGCACTTTTTTTTTGGAGGAAGATTAGCCGTGAGCTAACACCTGCTGCCAATCCTCCTCTTTTTGCTGAGGAAGACTGGCCCTGAGCTAACATCTGTGCCCATCTTCCTCTACTTTCTATGTGGGATGCCTGCCATAGCATGGCTTGCCAAGTGGTGCCATGTCCGCACCCGGGATCTGAACCAGCGACCCCCAGGCCACCGAAGCGGAACGTGCGCACTTAACCGCTGCACCACTGGGCCGGCCCCCTAGAATAGGCACTTCTTAAAAAGGCTTTCCAAGTGTCCAATAACCATATGAAAAGATACTCAACATAAGGAGTCATCAAGGAAATGAAAATTAAAACCACCATGCAATAGCACCACACATCCAGCATGGCTAAAATAAAAATGACGTTACCAAGTGTCGACAAAGCTGTGGAGCTCCTGGAATTCTCAAACACTGCTAGTGGGAGTGCAAATTGATGACTATTTGGCACTATGTACTCAAGCTGAGCTTATGTATATTCTTTGATTCAGTGATTCCACACCTAATAGAAATATGTATACACATTCAGTGAAAGACGTGTCCTGGAATGTTCACAGCAGCACTACCGGCAATAGCAAAAACTCAGAAGCCATCCAAATGTCCTTCAAAGAAGAAATAATACGTACATTGTACTCACACAATGGAATATTCACATGCAGCGATGAGAATGGCCGACCTACAATGACACGGAACCGCACAGAGGGATCCCACAAACGTAATGTTGAATGAAAGAAGGCACTGCATGACTATATGACTGAGTTTATATGAACTTCAAAAACAGTCATAGTTAGCCCGCAGGGCTAGAAGTCAGGATAGTGATTGTTCCTGCCGGCGGGAGGGGGGCTTCCGGGGGTCTGGTAATAGTCTCTCTCTTACCTGATTGGGAGTTACATCAGTGTGCTCGCTTTGTGAAAATTCATTAATCTGTACCCTTAGGATTTGTGCACTTTTCATATGTTAGACTTTATTTAAACTTTACATTATTAAAAAAAAAACTCATTCAGCTGGAAAGAGCTAAAAAGAGGTGCACATTTCCCCCTGAGGTTGCTAAGCTGGCAGGATGGCAGCCCAGAGCTCCCAGGGCCATCTTCGCCTACGGGAGGAGAGCCTGTCTGAGAATGAGGCCAACATAAAAGACAACAGAGCCTAGAGATGCTGGATCCAGCCATGCCTGAAGAAGCCATGGACTCTTCATATCCAAGAGCCAATAAGTTCCCTTTTTTGCTTATATCAGTTTGGGAAGGGGTTCTGTCCCTTGTTACCAAGAGTCCTAATACTTCAGTCATATCTTGAATGTTCTGCATCTGGAATTTTCCAATGTCTCCTTTAAAGTTAAAAATTCTCAGGGGAAGGCTATTTGGGCCACAGTGTGCTTCTTTATTCCCAGCTCTGGGCTGAATCTTTGATTGCATTTCGAACAGTTCTCTCAGTAACACATATGCGTTTAATTTAACATTGTAAATTTCTTCCAGTGACGGTCTGGGGAGGAGACAACCCCCTCCGAAGCAAAACCTAGTTCTAACGGATTTTCAAAATAAGTCTCTATTGTTCTCAGACAAATTATAACAGTACGAAAGTGAACTTTTTTGGTAAGTTTTTTCTGAGTGTGTATTCCAGCACAGTAGGAGGTGAACATGCCAATCACTGGAGTGAGGGCCAGGCGTGCAGTAAGGATGAGAGATGTCTATGGTGTGCATTATTTTTTTCCAACAGTGATTTTTACTGTTAGTGGGAGTGTAAATTGTCACCACGGCCTTGTAAGGAACTATGGGAACATCTATCATAGATTTTAAAGTACCTACTGTGTGACCCAGTTTTCCACCTCCAGGAATTCATCCTGTAGACACACTCTCATGTGAGCGCGAACGTATCCAGAGAAGGATGTTCTTTGAAGCAGTTGTTTCTAATAGAAGATTGGAAAAACCCTAAAAGTCCTTCAGTAGGGGGCCAGTTAAACAGATAATGGCGCCCCCAAGTAACAGAATAGCTAGCAGCCCGCCCAAGAGTAGGGGAAGGTTATCTATATTATATATTACTAGCCGATGCTTAAAATATCTCTGAAAGGATCCATGTGACAGTGGGAATGCCAGTGGCTGCTTTAGAAGAAGGACACCTAACTTTTATTGGAAAAGCTCTATTTTTTTCTTTTTTTAACTAAGTATATATTGTCTTTTTATTTTTTATTTATTTATTTATTTTTCCTAAAGATTGGCACCTGAGCTAACAACTGTTGCCAATCTTTTTTTTTTTTTTTTCCTGCTTTATCTCCCCAAACCCCGCCTGTACACAGTTGTATATCTTAGTTGCGGGTCCTTCTAGTTTTGGGATGTGGGACGCTGCTTCAACGTGGCCTGACAAGCAGTGCCATGTCCGCGCCCAGGATCTGAACCCTGGGCCACCGCAGCGGAGGGCGAGAACTTAACCACTCAGCCACGGAGCCGGCCCCTATATTGTCTTTTTAAAAACCTGGATAATTAATTTAAAAATTATCAAAAAAATGTTTACACATAGACAAGCTCAAAAGTGTGAACACGTCCTTGGGATTTTGTGGGGTGTGAGGCCTGAGCAAGGAAACCCACCATTCCCTGAATAATAGTGTGCCCAGGTCTTCCTGGGTCTGCAGTGGAGGATTCCCTGAGTGTACACCTCGCCTCTGAGCCTTTACTCATGCTGTTCCTTCTGCCTGAAACACCCTTCCGTGCATCTCCATGGGTCAAAATTCGACTCACACTTTAAGACTTCGTCACTAGGTCATACGTATTTCTAATGTGATCCTCCCTGATGTCCCTGCCTCCCTGAGGAAGAATAGATGACTCTCGCCTCCTGCACCAGCTCAACACTTTGAAAGGCCTTACGGAGTACGCGGTGCTGGGCCTGCACACAGTGAGTGCTCCCGAGACACTAGCGCTTGTTGTTGTTATCACATTATAACTCCCGTCTCACTGTATCATCCTGATTTTTTCTCCTGCTTCCCCTCTACACAGAGGGCTCCTGGAAAAGCCGGGACCCAGTTCGTGCATCTCTGGATGCCCAAGACCAGCCCTCCTCGCCCAGGGGGCCTGGCGCAGAAGAGGTAATAGACGCTGGTGGGGTCCCGCTGCCTTCCTCTGTCTGCCCAACCGAGCGACGAGCGACGGGGCGGGGAAGCTTCCGGCCCCCACCCTCGAGCTGCGGAGAGCCCCGAGCCCTGCCGGGGAAGACGGGCTGCGGTCGGTCATTACTTACGCTGGGCCACCTCTCGCTGCTTGCGGACATACCAGGTGTACAGGGCGGCTCGCTTCTGCGTCTTCATGGGGGTGCCCTTGTTGAGGTGCTGGGACAGGTGGGACTGGTTGAGGCCGGTGGTGTCGACCACCTCCCGCTGTGGGATGTTATGCTGCTGCAGGTAGGACTTGACCATCTTTGCCACGCGCCACGGGTCCTCCCTGGGAAGAGGGCAAGGATAGGGCTGCTCAGGCGGGGCTGGGGTTCCGGGGGCTGGGAGCCCTGTGCTCCTGGGGGTAGGGATTGTGAATGAAAGCGGCCATGGAGCCCAGGGGCCTGCACCCTCACTCAGGGACAGGGAGGTATGGGCACTCGTGCCAGGACACAGACACACGGATATGGGGATAGAGACTGGCAGACATGTGGTCACAGGCCCCAACTAGTCCCACACAGACATGGGAACAGATAAAAGTTTAGAAACATGGACACGCAGACACATCTGTATGTAGACGTGAACAGACTCCCACTGGAAGCTGCAGAAGCCAGATGGGGAGGGTCCTCGCCTTTGTGCCTCCTTTAAAGATCCTCCCCTCGTCCTACCTGGAAATGTTATTTGTGGCTGTGTCATAGCCACTGGGAGAGCCTGTAAACACCTTGAGGGAAGGAACTTGTGGTTTTCAGCACCCAAAATAGCCCTGACATAGAGAATGCCCTTGATGAATGCATGAACCGATGAGTGGATGGAGGGATGATAAAGTGGATGGGTGGATGGATGGATAAATAGGATGCTGGATGGGTAGGTGGTAGATGATGGATGGGTAGATGGATGGATGGTAAGGTGGATGGATGACAGACACCTACTGAGTCTGAAAACAAGGAGAGAAACACAATTCTCCCACTTTACCGGGGCCACTGAGGCAAAGAGCATTTGCGTTGTATCTCTTGCCCAAGGTCACAGCCCAATCCCACCTGAGGGATTCAGTTCTAAGTTAGCCCATCAGGTAAAAATCACTTAGGGTCAAAATGCCTCCTGAAAATCAGCACTGAACCCTGGGCAGTGGCCCAACCAGCTTCCCCACAGCACTGGGGCAAGTGGCTGGTTTTTCAACAGAGTCCCAGGTGAAGAGTTAGAGGTTGGCATTCAGAGGCCTTGTTGGATGGAATATGGGAGCATCTAAGTACCAGAATGGCACTTTGGGCTGAGAGTCCCTCACTAGAGAGACTCAGGGACCTGGGGCCATCTATACTCATGGCCTGTCCTCCACTCAGTGTGTGGGTGAATTGCCTGTACTGTATAAATCCTTCTCTCTCTCCCTCGCTTGCTCTGTCTCAACCCTCTCTTCACCATCCTCTCCTGAGCTTATATTACAAATGTGTGTCCAATAAATGCAGCTCAGGACAAGTGTTGAAACTGGCAGAACCAGGATTTGAACCCACATCTCTGCGATTCCAGAGCCTGTGCTCTCACCCCCTCGACTCAGCAATTTCCTTCTAGAATTTGAGTCTTCTGCTGTTTGCGTGTGTGACAAGTGTAGGAGGCGATTCGTGCCACGATGCTTGCCACAGCAAAAGACTGGAAACAACCAAAGTATTCAGCGAAAGGGCGCTGATTAACCAAATCATGGCGCCTCCGGATGATGCAACCGTAGAAACCCACTGAGAAAGCTCTGCGTGCGCCCAGACGGAACGGAGTTTGTCTGGTGGGTTTGCTGTGCTGCTATTCGCATAAAATTTAAAGTGGGATGAAAGAAGATTTCTACATCTTTGCTTGTGTTCACATGAAATGCCGGAAGGACACAGAAAGAACTGGCGAAGCGTCCACAAAAGGGGAATTGGGTGCTGGGGACAGGGGAAGAGGAATGGTGTTCCCTGTTACTCTTCTGTGCTTTTTAATGATGTAGTATAGCCTAATATTATGTAATATACTACATATGCATAAATGATACTTAAAACTGAGTTGTAAAACACTGAAAGCAAATAACCCCCCAGCGCTCTGAAGTCCGCGCACACTGCCTGCCCCCCGGCCCCTCTCTTCCTGCTCAGAGAACCAGCCTCGGGTCACCTGCTGACAGTGCTCTTCTCAGACACCAGCGCACGGAGCCTTCATCAGCTTCAGCCCTCTGACTTCCTCCTTTTATATCAGCACTTCCCATAGAGGCAGGGAGGCTGGAGGGTGGGGACAGATACGTCTAAATGGTCAGCACGCAGCACAGCAAAGTCCCATTGGTGCGAGAATGACAGCCGTGGGGATGAATGATCCCTGAGTGTTAACTGTGGGCCAGGCACTGTGCTAAGAGCTGGTCACATAAATCTTATAATAATCCTAGGAACTAGGTACTCCTTGTATGCCCATTTCACAGGGGAGAAATGGGCATACAGAAAGATGAGACTCAGAAAGATGGGCACTTGCAAGGGGACCTGGTTGGGACTCAAGAATACTTCACTTTGCTGGGGCCCCCAGACCTCTCCCGAGTTCCTGTCTCCCCAACTCTCAGGGGCCCCACGGTTCCTCTCCTCTCTGCCTCCCCCGCTCCCTGGGTGCCAGTCGGAGCTGGGAGGGAAGGGCAGTACAAAGTCCAGCCTTGTGCTTCGTGGCAAACATGTTTATCTGATTCTGGAGCTGGGCTGCCCGATGGCCCCCTCCTCCCCCAACCACAGTCTCACCCTCCTGAGCATTCCTCCCTCCCTCCCGGCTCTCTTCTCCAGAGAGAATAAGCTCCGTCTGCCTCTCAGTAGGGCCTCTCCGGGCTCAGACTAAAGATGCACTATCTGTCACTGTCCATCTGACTCCCTGGTTCTGTCTGTCTTTGCGTCTCTTTCTCTGCCTCCTTCTCTCTGTGTCTCTCTTGTTCTGTCTCTGTGTGTGTCTCTCTGTTGTTCGCTCTGTCTCTTTCTCCTCCCCCTACTATTCACACACACACACGCAGACGCACACACACTCGGTCTCCAAGGACCTGACTCTTTTCAGGACAGTTTCCCCAACTCAGAACTGACAGGCCACGTCTCCAGGTATCTCCTGCTTTCGCTCTCGTGGGTTTGAGAGTCAAGCCAACCTGGGTTCACATCCCACCACTGCAACTTCACACGTGATGTGTGCAAGCCCCACATCTTCCTGGTAACACGGCGGTAAACCCACGCCTGCCTCGCAGTGCTCCCGGGAGAACTGAATGGGTTTCAAATAGGAGTGAAACTAGCGCAGGGCCTGGCACACAGGAAAGGCTCAGTAAGTGGAACGATATTGTCATCATCATCATCCAGGATGTAGTCTTGGGACCCCCGGACCCACAGCAGAGGGGAGGGGGCCCAGGAGAGGCGAAGACCTGCCCATATCTCCCTCCTCCCGCCTCCTGCCAGTTCTGGGGTCAATCACAGGTACAATGTTTGGCCTTTTGCTCGCTGGCCCCTGGGGTTTCAGGGGGTCCAAGGGTGTGGAGCCGGGAGACCAGCTTGCAGAGCTTCATCTGCAAGGGGGAGCTGAGTTTGAAGCCCAGCCCTGCCACTCACTGTCCAGGTGGCCTTGGGAACTTGCTTAACCTCCCCGTGCCTCAGCTTCCTCGACTGTGACATGGGCAGATCATATTTGAGAGGTTGTCAGGAGGAGAAAAAGGGTTGCGTGCCTTTGCAGGCCCCCCGCCAGCTCTAGAGCCCTGCATGGAAGTGAGTTGATGGTGACGTCAGCAGTGCGAAGGACTGGGGAGGCTGACGGGAGAGATAAACCGATCAAGGACAGGCCTGCAAACTCAAGGGCACCGTGCAGACTGTGGGCTCAGGAGGACCTGCGTCTTAGTCCCGGTCTTACTACTTTGTAAAGTGCCTCGGGCAAGTCGCTTTGCCTCTCTGAGCCCTCATTTGCTCCTCTGTAAAATGGGACCACTGTTAATAACATCCGTTTATTGCACTTATGTGCTATTCAACCCCGTGGGGCCCTGCAGAGGACACTGGGGCCCAGAAAAGTGAAATCCCTCCCAAGCTAGGAGGAGGCAGAGCTGGGATTCAAACCAGGATCCCAGAGCCAAGATTCGGCAGGATGGCCGCAGTCAGGGATGTCAGATCGTCCCACCTTGGCCACTGTTTTCCTGAGTCTCAGGGCCCAATCGGGAGGATCAGAGAGCCTCAGGGTTGAAGTTTGAGCTGCTCCGGGACAGGGAGGACCTAGGAGGACCCCCAGGAAGGAGGTACAGATTCCTCCCTTGGCCATAGCCACAAATGTCCCCAGGCCTCAGAGAATCCTAGTCACTCATTCACCCACTGGGCTGGATATCAGGGGTAAGAGTGGTGAACAAGGCCACACGGGCGGGCCCTGCCCTTGAAGAGCTTCTATTTCACAGCAGGAGATAGAAAATAAACAGATAAACTAATAAGATCATCCTAAGTAATGATAAGGGACAGGAGAAAGTAAATGAAAGTAATGGACGAGAGAGTGACTGGAGTGGGCCTACCTTTAAATGGGGTGGTTTAGATGGCCACCCTGAGGAGATGACATTTGAGCAAAAGGAGGAGAAGAAATCAGCCATGGGAAGATCTGGAAAGAGGGTTCCAGGCAGAAGGAACAGCACGGGCAAAGGCCCTGAGGTGGGAATCAGCAAAGTCAATGTGACCGGCAGAAAGAGGGTGACCTCAGGAAGAGGTCAGGAAACAAGGGCAGGGAGTTTGAATTTTATTCATTGTCCAGGTAGGGAAACTGAGGCAGAAGGTGGAGAAGAAACTTGCCCAAGGTCACAGAGTGAACCAAGGATGGCGATCTGAGGGGAGCACTCAGGTTCCTGCTGTGGCCTCAGGCATAGGGCACCCCAGGGAGGCCTGGGACCCAGACCCACCCCTGCCTCTTCCCAGGCACTGTCTTCTCCAGAGAAATGGCTTCCACTAGAAGTCCTGCCTGGGCATCATCCTTTCCAGCCTCAACCTCCCTCACGGCCCAGGCCTTCAGCGGGGTCCCCCACCCCTCTCCTTCCGGTGCCCTGAAGCTAGAGGCCCCACTTTTTTCCCTCGGGGCGTTTTCAGATCCCTTTTGTTACCTGAACAATAAGTAACCCAGGTAGTTAGTTATAAACTCCGCAGGAACAAGGAGCTGGTTGATAATTTATAGCAACATCTCAAATTTAAATGGAAAGTAAATAGCATGCTGTTAGCATTAAAGAAAACCCAATCGGGGCAGGCGGGAAGCACTCCAGCCTCCTCTCGGCTTGGGGCGCCTCAGTCTCTCCCGAGCCCCTTCTCCCAGCTGGGTGTGAGCCCCTCTCCCCTCCCGGCCTTCTGCTCAGCTCTGCCGCTCCAGGCCTCTCTCTCCATCTCCCCCGACATCCTCTCTCCTCCTCCTTGTCTCCCCTCTCTCCCTCGGCTTCCAGGTTTCTGCTGGTCCCCAGGGAGCCCTCTGACCTCTGCTCCCCCATCAAGTGCTGTGGATCAAGGCTTCCCCTCACCCACCATCCCACCAAAGGGGCCGCCGATCAAGAGGCCCCGTCCCACCAGGTAAGAAAGGCCCCGGGCTCCCCCTGCCTCCGCTCCCACTTGAAAGCCCCCATCCCTGCTGGGGCCTCAGCAGATCTGGCCCAGCCCCACCCTGCCAGGGTGGCCCTCGTCCTGGGTCTGGCGATGCCTGACACTTTGCCCCTCCCCTGCAGCCAGCGGGGCCCTTTGCCCTCCTCTTCCTGCCAAGTCAGGGGGCCCTGGCTGCTCCCCTGCCCGCTGCCCGGGACCTCACGAGGCCTGGCAGACCCTGAGGGCTCCCTGAGGCAGGATCCAGCCCTCCCCCACCCCAAGCTGGGATCAGGACCTTGGACAGAAAAGACATGGTCCCCTGGAGAGGGGCTCTTTCTCAGACACCTCCCCCAGGCACCCCGGTGGCCCCTGGACCCCAGTCTTGGCAACTGAGGGCACCAGAGTGGGTGTGGAATCCCAGCTGGGTGGCCTTAGTCAAGCTACTTCCCCTCTCTGGGCCTCAGTTTCCTCATCTGTGAAGCAGAGTTATCCATAGCCCTCCCAGGGTTCACCTCGACATTACCTGAAATTATACACGTGAAACCTCAGCACAGAGCCCAGGTGTTAGGATGGAGGTTAGAGAGCCTTTGGGGAGGGGCGGTCCCTGAGCCCCTGGGCCCCCCTTCCTCCATCCCCACATTCCCCATCCCCCACCCTACTGGGTGGGAGGTTGGTTGACCCAGGCCTCCCCAGGCCACCGTCCCTACAAGTTAATGATCACAGGCCTTATCAGAGCCTTTTGCCATTTATAAATTTATAAAACAAAAGAGAAATAATAAAGCCCGTGGGTAATCAGTAACCAGGTTAGCTCTGCTGAGGAGAGGGGAGGCATTGGGCTCAGACCCACCCAGTTCTGTGGGAGATGGGGAGCCAGCCAACGGATGGGGGTACAGAGCAGAAGTCCTCTAATGGTGCCTGAGGCTGTGCAGGAAAGGGGAGCAGCTCCCGCCCCGAGGTTCCATCCCCCTCAGGTAAGAAAGATGTGGGCTTTCTCCACTGAATGCTTGAGTGCCCAGGTCCCAGGGGAGTCCCTAAAACCCCGGCCTCAGCGCCCCCCCTCCCCAGCAGTGTATCCTGGCCCTTAGCAGAGGAGTTAGGGTTTGGGGACTAGAAGTGACCGTGGCGGCTAAAACTTCCCACTGGCCTCCATCTCTCCAGGCACTTACATTGTGGACTCTCTCGCTTTTTCCGATCTTGGAGCTCCCCTGGGGCATGTCCCCACTTCCCAAGCCCTGGGCTGAAAGCCGTGGCTCAGAGGGACTCAGACTCTGCAGAGGGCCAGCTAGGGGGCGGGAGGCTCCAACCTCTGAGCAAGGACCCCCCAACCCCCCACAAGCTCTCATGGGCCCTGTCTCCCTTCCCAACAACTAGGCTGAAGGCCACCTCTCATGGAACTTCAGCCTCAGAAGGGCTGGTCAGGAGCAGAGGGTGGGCGCCTTGGGAGCACGACTCAGGGAAGGGGGGTCCTTACTGCAGCAGGGTCTCCACCACGGCTTTCTGGTGGGCCGCCTCCTCGGGGCTGAGGTTCTCCAGCTCTTTGAGGATGGGTGGCGTGAAGTCTTCCCCATCGTCGTCCGTCTCGTCCTCGGAGCCCCTCGTCTCCCCAAGCCCATTGGGCAGCTCGGCCAGCTCCCCTCGGCCGCCGCCGCAGGACTCCCCCTTGTCCAGGGGGCCATCTCCAGCCAGCAGGTAGGGCCCTGGCTCACCCAACGCCTGGATCAGCGCCTCCTTGCTCAGGCCAGACTCGAGCAGGGCGGCCAGGAGCTCCGTCTGCAGCTGGCTCAGTTTGGAAACCATGGCTCCGCCACCCCTGGACCATGCGGCCCGGGGCCACCGAGCTGGCCGCCTCCCCCACCGTGGGGGCCGTCTCCTCGCCCGGCGGCCAGCAGGCAGGCACCAACCAGGCTCCTTGCACCCACTGTCCCCCCAAACCCCACCAGCCAAGCCCTGTGGGCACCCCCAACCCCCAAGGCTGGCCCCAGCGGCCAGTGAATCAGGGCCCCTGCCCGCTCTGTTTACATTGGAGCTGGGGAAATTCTCCAAGGTTCATATTCATCCGTGTGCTTAGCGAAGGCACTGGACTTTGGACTTCAGCCCCGCAGAGTGCAGGCCTCATGGCAGCGCGCAGGGCCGGGAGCCGCGGCCTGCAGTGGGAGTGGGCAGAGCTGAGGGTGGGGGAGGCGACGGTGGGGGCCCGGGCAGCTGGGATGGAAGGTGCTGGGAGCCCGGGCGGCCTTCGGGTGAGCAGCTCCAGATCTCACCCCCGGGACCTTGTAGGGGCGTCAGGCCGAGGCAGGAGAGCAGAAACAGCATGTTTACCCAGGGAACAGGAGCAGCAAGGCATTCTAGGCAGGTGGGCCAGCTCTCCTCAAGGGCAAGGCTAGGTCACATCCATCTTGTGACCCACCCTCAGGCCCCAAACCAGGCCTCCCCATCAGAAGAACTGTTGCCTGGCACAAGTCTACTGAGTGCCAGGGATGTTCTCGTCTGTAACGTGCGTCATGAGCTCATCGTGTCCCCTAACAGCTGTGAGTAGGTACAGGGACTATCCCCATTTCACAGAGGAGGAAACTGAGGCCCTGAGAGGGTAAGCAACTTGCCCAAAATCACACAGCTAGCAAGGGGCAAGAGGCAGGGTGGGAACAGGGTGAGGCCAGGTCAGGCACTCGACTCAGGGGTGAATTTTAAGGGGGTGCCAAAAAACTCAGTAATTGAGAAAAATACTTTGATACACTATATTAAAAAATCTACATGAATGCAAAACCCAAAAGAATTAAAAACATACGCTCCCACAGAAATTTGCACATGAATGTTCATAGCAGCATTATTCACAATAGCCAAAAAGTAGAAAAAACATAAATATCAACAGATGAATGGATAATTAAAATGTGGGCTATCCATGCAATGGTGCCTTATTCGGCCGTAAAAAGGAAGGCAGTACTGATCCGTGCTACAACGTGGATGAACCTCGAAGATGTTATGCTGAGGGAAATAAGCCAGACACAAAACCCCACATATTGTGAGTCCATTTACATGAAATGTCCAGAATGGGCAAGTCCGTAGAGACAGAAAGTAGATGAGTGGTTGTCAGGGGGTGGGGGGCGGGGGGAACGGGGAGTGGCTGCTTAACAGGCATGGGGTGACTTTGGGGATAATGAAAATGTTCCAAAATTGATTAGGTGATGTTACCCAACTCTGTGACTCTACTAAAAAAGACTGAATTGTGCACTTTTAAAGGGTGAATTTTATGATATATCAATCAATAAAAAATATTTTTTTAATTAATGCAAAAATTCTGCGATGAACAAAATATCAACATTTTAAATAAAGACAGGCTCCGGCCCTCACTACCCTCCCCCTAATCCCAGCCTAATCCCTGGGTGAGTGTTGGTCCCTCACACCCCCACCCACCCCTTCCCTCCTCCAGAGCCTTGATAAAATTTCTGCACATGTCCCCTCCGGTGGCCCTAAGCCCCCAGAACAGAGGCCGCACACCACTTCCTGGAGTAGGCAGGGTCGCGCTGAGGGGCCGCCCCCCAGGCTGGGGCATGTCCAAAAGTTCCGCATCTGTCAGGAGTCTGTAGAACCAGGGTCACAGTTGGCAACAGAGGAAGGGTGAAGGTGCTATTGGCCAGAAAACTCTCGCACAGCCAGGCAAGTCCAGAAGGGAGGAAAGGGGGCTGGTTGACAATGATAACTGAGCTCTCCGTCAGCTCAAATCCACCTTCTCAGTCTGTCCACTCCCACACCTGGTGCTCCAGCTCCCCTCACCCCGAATTACGTCTTCATTTTTTTTTTTTTTTACATCTTCATTTTTGCACACACCTTCTAACATGCTGGGCAACTGCGCGGCCCAGCACAGCAGCCACTAGCCACGTGTGGCTACCGAGCACTGGAAATGTGGCTAATGCCTTCTGGTTGAAATGATAAAGTTTTTGATATATTGAGCAACATTTAAAAATTTTAAAGTAAAATTTTAAATTTTTTTATGTTAAAAATTAGAAAAATTGATTTCATCCATTTCTTTTTACCTTTGAAATGGTACTTCCAGAAAATTTCAAATTACATACGTGGCTCACATGATATTTCAGGTGGACAGCACTGCTGTATAATGTACTTACATATTATGTTTGTCATTCATGGTTCGTCTCTGTCTGCTAGAAGGTAAGCCCCCTGAGGGCAGGGTTCTTGTCTGTCTCGTTCACTGCTGTATTCCCAATGCCTAGATATTGCCTCGTATGTATATAGTAGGTGCTCAATAAATATTTGTGGAATAAATGAATGAATAGCTCAATGTCATTGCACACTGACCATGTATACTTAACTCTGCGCTAAGCTTTGTCATGTATTAAATTCTCAGAACGACTCTGTGAAGTAGGTAGTTATTCCCATTTTGCGGAAGAGGACACAGAGGCTCAGAGTCCCCCAGGATGATACTGATAGTTGACCCTTGGTAAAGTGGGACCCCCCACTTTTCTTCCAGTGCTTTCTTTTTCCTCCGGTGCGAGTCACTTTGGGGTCAGACGGCTCACTGCTGGGGGCAGACTTCTCAAGTTCAGGCTGAAGGACGGGAGGAAGCTGTGTCCTGTCCCTTTGCAGTTTCCTGGCTCTCCTGCTTGCTGTACCCCGCCAGGAGGCTGTCCCTCGGGTGACTTTTCACCTATAAGAGGGAACCAGGAGGCGGGAGAAGGGTGGGGCTGGATCCTTTGCACAGCTTTTTAACTCATTAATTGCAAGGTCCTCTGGCAGCCGGGGTGCCTCCGGGACTGAGGGTGGATTTGGTTGGGAAGTGGACCAGCGGTGGGTCGGGGGAGAGCCTCAGTGGGCCCAAGAAGAGAGGCCCCCCAGAGCCCAACTCCAGCTCCCAGGACACACAGGGGCTACTGTTCTGGGCCCCCTTAGTGGGGCCCCCTCTGATGAAAGAGAAAGGAAGTCAGGAGCCTGGCCCTGCTTCTCCGCAGACATGGAGGCACACGGGCAGACAGGGCCGCCCTGGCCCACAGTCGGGACAGATCTGAACTGACTCCGGGTCGGGAAGAGCAGTTCACCCTCCGAGAATCACGCGGGACCTAGTTTGAATTTCACTGTCCCCACACCCCGCCCCACCCCAACTCCCACTGAGTGGCTTCAGGCAAGTGAGTGAGCCTTTCTGGACCCATCTATAAAAAGAGGTGTGGATCTGCTAGGGCTGTAAAGAGCGTGATGGGGAAATTCCAAACTTCCTCCGTTGGCGCCACCCTTAACGTCTCCGTAACGTTTCCACCGCACCTCCTGCCTCTGTGAAAAAACTAACAGCTATGTTTACTACGCAGTGAGGTCAAAACAACTAATAAGTATTTATGTCTTAACAACTTACTAGCCTTTTGAAAACTGCACATAAATTGAAAGGAAAAAATGACATTTCCATTCCTTCCTAAATAATCATCACTAGTGGGTGGGCGGGCTTGTGGGGCTCCACACAACTGCTCGGACCTTGGAGTTAGACTGGACGGCACCGCCCTCACTTTTGGTTCCACGACGATTTGTGCACGATGCTTGCTTTTCATCAGACCTGCCACAAACCCAGCTTTGCAAAGCGATGACGTCATCTGAAGGAAGGAAGCTCCGTCTGACACTCAAACAGCGAACCACCTCGAGCTGGTAGTTTGCAAGGCGTCCGGCAGATGTCGCTGTGATCCTCTCAAAAATGCTCTGAAACAGTCCGCGGCGCCCAGGGGCACCTCGGCGCACCGTTTGGGACCCGCGGTCCTAATGGGTCTCCTGGGACGCAGCCGATGTCCCGTCACTGGTGGTGCTGAGTTTCGTCCCCATTCTCTCCTACCAGGCGAGCAGCTATTTGCAAGGCCAAAGTTCAGGCAAGGCGTAAGGCTTCTTGGCCTTGGGAAGCAGCGCAAAGCACCGTGAGCCGGACTCAGACTCTTGGAATTCGATTACCACCACCCCCACCCCACCTCGGGCCCACCTGTGTTCAGACTCGGACTGTGCTTCCTCCCAGTCCCATTGCCCTTTAAACCTGTAGTAAACAGTCGCTGGCATATGCAATTTTCATCCGTCTCATTTAACAGCTCAGCAGCCTCAGGAGGTAGGTAATTCTATCCCATTTTCTTCTGTTTTGTTTTCTTTCTTTCTTTCTTTCTTTCTGTTTTTTTTTTTTTTTTTTTGAGGAAGACTGGCCGTGAGCTAACATCCGTGCCCATCTTCCTCTACTTTCTATGTGGGACGCCTACCACAGCATGGCGTGCCGAGCAGTGCCATGTCCGCACCCGGGATCTGAACCTGCGAACCCCGGACTGCCGAAGCAGAATGTGCGCACTTAACCGCTGCGGCACCGGACAGGCCCCTCTATCCCATTTTACAGATGAGAAAACTGAGGCTCTAAGAAGATGTGGATCCTGCCCAGTTAATGTGTGGCAGAGCTAGGATGGGAACCCAGACCTCTCTGATGCCAGAATCCAAGCCCTTGACTGCTAGTCCATGTACCTCTTTCTTTGAGGCAGTTCATTCTCACTAAATACTTGTTACTATTACTTTTTCTTGTTGTTGTCCTGGGTAAGTGTAACTCTGCCCATTGGTCTTGTCACCTCCATGCTGGTTTTGCAGATAAAGAAACTAAGGCGCCAAGGGAAGAAAACACAATGGTTAAGAGCACAGGCTCAAGCCAGAGTGCCTGGATTTGAGCTTGGCCCTGCCACTTGCGAGCTGTGTGACCTTGGGCAAGTTGCTTAACCTCTCTGTGCCTCAGTTTCCTCTTCTCTAAAATGGGGATGAAAATACTGTCTGCCTCATGGGTTGTTAGGAGGATTAATGAGGTAATACACATAAAGACTGTGCCTGGCACATTGTAAGCGCTCCCTACTGCTGAATGATTATTGTTACGTGATTTTTTTTTTTTTTTTAAGATTTTATTTTTTCCTTTTTCTCCCCAAAGCCCCCCGGTACATAGTTGTGTATTCTTCTAGTTGTGGCATGTGGGACGCTGCCTCAGCGTGGTCTGATGAGCAGTGCTGTGTCCGCGCCCAGGATTCGAACTAAGGAAACACTGGGCTGCCTGCAGCAGAGCGCATGAACTTAACCACTCGGCCACGGGGCCAGCCCCTTGTTACGTGATTTTTAACAAGACTGTCCCACTCCTCTTGGCCAGGCTGAGTTCCCTTCTTTTGCAAAAGTGCTGCCACCATTCCATTTGACTCTTAAGCCCTGATTCTGGCATTCAAGGTCATCAATACCTCAACTCCGCTCTCTAACCAGGAGCATACCTGGAATCTCTCTCATCTAGGCTTTTGCACAAGCAGTTTCCTCCACTGGAGACCTCCGCCTGTTAACCTGCCCTCAGATCCTCCTGGATCTTTTTCTGACCCCTTCTCTTACCCACAGCAGCATGAGTCTTCACTAGCCAGCCTTCCCTAACTCACTGGAGCAGGGCCAGCAGTACCAGAAAGCCCTGGACTGAGGGTTAGAAATACAGATTCCTGGCTCCATGCTCAAGGATTTGATTTAATAGGTCTGGAGTGAGGCCAAAGAGTGCAAGCTCCTTGCATCCAAGAGCAGAGAACCAAATATCGTTCTCTGTAAAACAGCAATAAATGTGTTTCTATGTGCATATTTGAGAAAGACGTGGAAGGACATGCTCCAAGATGTCGACATCAGTTACCTTTGGCAGGGAGGTATGCACAAACAGAAACAAAAACAATAGCCGGGGAGGGGGAAAAAGTAAAGAAGCCTCAAAAGAAAAGAAGAAAAATTGTAACTTTGGGAGGTGATG